TTTTTGCTGGTCGTGGGGCCTGAACTCTGGGCCTGTGCACTGTCCCTCAGCTCTTCAGCTCAAGCACCACTTCCAGCTTTTTCTACTTATGTGGTGCTAAGGAATCGAACCCAGGGCCTCATGCATGCAAGGCAAGCACTCTACCACTGAGCCACCTTCCCAGCCCCCCAGCCACTTGTTTTGCATGACTACTAAGATCCTAGTATGCAGAGTCTGTTAATTGAGATGTTATGGACATATACCATATATTATGGATTTTGGAGAATAAATGACAAAATAAGTATAAATTATGTACATATTTTGTTGGTTGTGGGACTGGAACTCTGAGCTTAGGCACTGCCTCGCAGCTCTTCAGTTCAAGACAAATACTCTATCGCCTGAGCTACAGTGCCACTTTCAGTTTTCTAGTGACTTATTGGAGATAAGAGTCTTACAGACTTTCCTGCCCTGGCTGGCTTTGAACTGTGATCCTCAGATCTCAGCCTCCTGAGTAGCTAGGATTACAGGCGTGAACCACTGGTGCTCATCCCTATGTAATTATTTTTTATAGTCTTCACATTTAAAATATTTGAGACAGACAGTGTCCAATAAGATATGATATACAAAATATAAAACAAAATTCACCTTTTTCCTGCTAGACAATTTAAAATTGCATATCTAAACTGAAGTTGGAGAATTCAGATTCCTACATATTATCAAATTCAAAACTCAGATTCAGATTCAAATCAAAGGTTAAAGTGCATATATATGTGCATACACAGAAGTTGTTTTACTTGAGTAGATATTAAATAAATGCTCTGAGTAAAACTTGGTAGCTTAATGACTCCAGAATAACAGAAAAATAAATCTGTGGCCAATTCACTCTAGATTTGGACAAATGTATAGAAGTGCTAACTAATTCTATTTAATTTAGTATCAGAATTTTTCTCATCTTCCTTGATAAATCATATAAAACTCACTAACTAAAAATAGGAATCTATGATAGAAAAATTATATATAAAAACATAACAAAACCAGAAAATAAAAATCATCTATGCTAGCATATATCCTCAGAATCTTTTTCCATACATAAAAGAACACACATTCTTTTTGTAAGTATAAGATCATATTCTTCATAAATCCTTTTTTTTTCTCCCAAATACTAGAGCTGGCTGGACTCAGGGCTTGGACACTATCCTTTAGTTTTTATGCTCAAGGTTGGTTCTCTACCACTTGAGCCACAACTCCACTTCCAGTCTTTTGCTGGACAGTTGGAAATAAGTGTCTCATGAACTTCCCTGCTAGGAATGACTTTGAAGTGGGATCGTGAGATCTCAGCATCCTAAGTAGCTAGGATTACAGGCATGAACCAACAATACCCAGCCATAAATCTTTCTTTTTGGCCACTGATTGATTCTTCTCTTATTTAAAATTTATTTTGTTATCCTTTTAATAAATAATTAAGATGAAGAGAAGCAGTTGTCAAATTACTATCTCCAAATGAATTCCTGCCAACTTAATGTCACATACTTTTTGCTAAATCTTCTCAGCTTACTTTTTTCCTAATTGGCTTAATGGGTAAATTGTGCCCATTAAGAGGTTAAATATGTAGTATATCAGAAAGGTCACCTGATTACAAGTAGAAGAGTGATTTGAATCTAATATTCAGTTCTTAACATCTAAGATTTTGGACAGAATATTTAAAATCTGATTTTCTGTTCTTACAAATTTATAGTAGAAATAACATAAATTACTTTCTGGGATTTCAAAAAGAATAAATAAAATAAGAAGGATGACATTACCTAGCAAAGTACATGAACATATAAAGCACTCAATATTAATTTTTGCTTCTCTTAATTATTCAGCTGGTATGAGACTTTGATAATTGCTATTGATTTTATGCATGATAGCCTGCCCTTTCACAGTTTCCAAGTGAATAATTTTATATTCTCTGTAACTTTTGTTGCTACTAAATTGAATTTTAACTAAAAAGTAAAGCTGTGTGACCTACTGAAGAGATCAGCAATGAAATAGCTTCAGCTATCCACAATCATAATAATGGAAAATGAAAATCAACATTTTATTTTCTTAACAATTTGCAGTCTTTGCTCTATGAAGAGAGCAAGTATAAAGACAATAACAATAATAGACTCTGTACCATGTCTTTTACTTTTCATAATAAATTTATAAATTATAGTCTGAATGTAGTAGTATATGAAACAGAGAAAGAAGTCAATAGCTTCTTTTTGCATTTGTATTTTACATTTACAGTGATTATACATTTAACATAAAAGATAGCTAAATGAATGTAAAGGGAGGTTTTAAGAGATGCTGAACATTTCATGGATCCTTTTGAGAATGTTGATAGAATTGTTTGTTATCATGCCACACATATGCATACCTGTGCATGTACTAAAAGTTCTACACACAATTCAGGAAGGAGGAAAAATCTAGTCCATGATCCTATGTGGTGGATAGGCTGAGAAATCGGCCAAGCACCCCCTAATCTCTACAAAAGGGAATCATATTCACCTGGGAAAGACTTATATGACATGCGTTTGTACCTTGGACTGAGATCTGGAGGTCCGGTACTATTCAAAGTGGAAAGTTGTAATTTCAAGTTCTTTTCTTTCTTTTTACCATGGTTAGGGAGCTCGACTTCCTGCTTGGTTTGTGGGGAATTTGAACTGGAGACTCGGATAGGTGAATGAAATGGCACTGTCCCTGAGGCCAGTTGCTTTAAGCTTAATCCTAGGTAGCTTTTATTGCTTCCAATTTTCTTGCTGAGTGAAGAGGAGGATCTCCTTGTATAGATGGGAGAGAGGGAGGCTGTTTCTTCTTCCTCTCCCTCCTCCTCTTCTTCATCTTCCACGATGGATGGTAGTCTTTTGTTGATGCTGCCATTTCCCTTCGGCTCTGACTAAATCAAGGGATAACACAGATTAGCACAAATTGAACAGACTTCTTACGTGGTGGTGCATCATTCATGCTGCAGGCCCATTGAAGAAGGTCAAATTACTTACAAGATTTACTACTCCCTAAAAAACAGAAGTCTGTGTATAGTTTTTGAATGTTTTTTTTTCTCAGTTCTGATCTCCAAGTGAATCCTCTCTTCTTGCTTGGTTTTACCCCCTTCCCTAACTCTTCTTCCTTGGTCTTTTAGACTGTTGCTGGACAACACTATGAAAGGTGCTGCATTCGTATAGGCTTCCAATTAGAGTTCACTCAGCTGCTCACTTGTAATAGTGTATGGAATACTATCTTAAGAATGAATGTATTTTCAGTTTTAGTGAAACTCTTAAGCTTTGTCATTTAAAATGATAAGGTCTTTACTGCAACTTTACATGGAGGTCAGCTGGCAAAACTGTATTATCTTCAACAGCAAAAATCTTGCTGCTGGGTGCTGGTGGCACACACCTGTAATCTGAGCTACACAGGGGTTGAGATCTGAGGGTCATGGTTTGAAGCCAGTCCAAACTCTAAGGTCTAACTGTCCAATAAACCACTCAGAAAAAAACAGAAGTGGTGTTCGAGTGGTACAGTGCTAGCCTTGAGCAAAAGAAGCTCAAGGACAGTGCCCCAGGTCCTGAAACATTCCTATTTTAGAACCCTTGGACAGGGAAAAAAAAAGAAGCATCCTTAAGCTACTCTGCTTCCAATTCTGGTTTCTCACAATTTGTTAACAAGAATGAACTAGGTGACTCTCTTGGACAAGTTTTGGAAGAAGAAGGAAAAGTAGTCTTGCCAACCCTCTTTTTGCCCAGGACTGCTGGACTCTTGACTGGAGTCATTGACTCCTGGAGGCTTAGAAGTTGAGAGGAGAGAGGAGAAGATAGCTGAGATGAGGGTGAACCAGGACAGAAAAGCCAGCAAAAGGTAAAATAGTGGACCTGATGAGTCACTGGAAAAGTATGTTTTTTGCTTTGTTTCTGATGTGGCTTCTTTGGGTGCCTATCCAGAGTTCAATTCACATCAAAAGGCCAATTTTGCTTTTCTGTGCGTCAGTTTTTTTAAAAGATAAAATCACTTAAACACTGCTTATCAAAATTGCTAATAAAAATATGATTGAGAACTGAAAATCACTAAGATGATTATGTAAAGTCTCACAGGTTGACTTCAATGCACAGTTAATTCATTGGTTTATTTGGGCTTTGTCATGATGATAGCAGTTGTCATAACTGACACAACCAAAAACTTGGGGTGAATTCAAGCAATTGCCCATTCATTTTAAATGATAGCTGCTAAGTAGGGCTATTGATTTACTTATGAAAGCTGTTTGGTATAGCAGTCTTGATGGCTCAACATTTCTGAACAAAATGGTATTCCTAAACTCTTTACCCAGCTAGCTATGATTATTTTAATTAATGGAGAAGCCAGAAGTTCTTTATTGGAAAAGTCATGGTGTTGCTTTTATTTATTTTCCAGAGCATTTACAACTCTCTGCTTTAACAAAAATTGGACCCACATGGATTGCAGGGGAATATTTGCAAACTAGAAAAATTCGCTCACCCAGCTAAACACACAACAGGGCAAACTTATCAAAGAAATGAAAAACACTAAGTACATTCTCTAATTAGATTTCTGTTTACACTTCCATTGATGATTTATTCATTCTTTTGTTTCAAGAACTCTCTACTGACTTTAATAGAATTTCCTGATTAATAACTGTTCAGTGTTTGTGCTTCTATAATTTTGTTCAAATTCCATATTTGTTTTTTGTGGCAAGGAGTCTTAGTATCTTGGACTAGTTTCTTAGAAACTGACTCATAATTAAGGCAGAAGACAGTGTTCATAACAACAATTAGTAATTCTACCTGTACCTGCCATCATTGCTGACAAGACTTAAATAAGTTATTATATTATATGCTATCATATATCATAAAGGTTATATTATATACAATTATATAATAATGGTTATTAGTAGTATCTCTGAGGTTTGAACTCAGGACTTTGTGATTAGTCAGCTTGCTTGTTTGCTTAACACTCTATCATTAGAACTACACATTCAACCTGGCTTTTGGTTAGTTATTTTAGAGGTGAAGTCTCTTGGATTTTTCTGCTCAGACTAGCTTTGAGCCATGATCAGGCAGATCTCAAGCTTCTAAGTGGCTAAGAGTGCAGTCATAAGCCACCAGCATCTGACTACATTTTTAAACACTATTATTTGACATCCAGCCCCATATTAGCCTCTGTGCAGGAGGCCCAGTTTCTTTCTTCAGGCCACCTATACAGAATGATCTCTTTCCTTGTAAAGCAGGATTCACCTGTGCTACATTTTCAGGAAGTTCAGTTACAGATCTCTCCCTTCTCATCCGACCCATCCCTTCATGGTCTGCCTAGCTGATGCCTTCAGGACTGCAATGGAGTTTATACACTCAGAGTTAAAGGAACCTTACATTTGATTTATAATGTTTTGCTGGAAAAACCACTGCAAACTGACACATGACTAGTCAAACCTGTCTTCATCAGAGAGGATGCAGGCCCAGGTCTTAGGGTCAGCCTGGGCTTCTGGTCCCACAGTCCTACAGCTCCTGTCCTTTACTAGCTGAAACTTTCATAGGTGTACAATTATTTAAAAAAAATCTTCTCTTGTTAGCTATGTTCTTTGCCATGCAGAAACTTTTAAGGAGAGGAACACAAAGATGCAATACCTACCTGATCATATAAAATAATATGGAAACCAAAATGAGAAAATGGAAACAAAGTTTATTTCTTTGCTGCTGTTTTTCTTTTCTTTTGTTTATTCATTTACGTCTTTAGGATGTCAAGGATGGCATGAAAGTGGATGGGCCAAGGGTGAACCAATGCAGCAGTTGCAATTCCCTAGACACTGTGTTGAAAATCAACTATACAACTTGTAAGTGGGGACGAGAGGGAAAAACTGAGAGAGAGCAAAGGGAGGGATGACATTGTCTGAAAAAAAAATGTACTCTGGGGCTGGGAAGGTGGCTCAGTGGTAGAGCGCTTGCCTTGCATGCCTGAGGCCCTGGGTTCGATTCACCAGCACCACATAAGCAAAAAGAAAAAAAGCCTGAAGTGGCACTGTGGCTCAAGTGGTAGAGCACTAGCCTTGAGCTGAAGAGCTGAGGGACAGTGCCCAGGCCCAGAGTTCAAGCCCCATGACCAGACCCCCAAAAATGTACTCTTTACCTGACATATTTAATTATAATCTCTATGTATATCACCTTTATTATAACAATAAAAATTAAAAAGATCTTAATTTCCTCATCTGTAAATTAGGAATTGTGTGAGTGTGATATGGGGTGTTAGGTAATGGAAATGGAGTACCTAGACATGTGCAAAGAAACAGCTGAATAAGTGCTTGCATTTGCAATGATTATCAGGAAAAAGATTCTGAAAACACACATTTATGTCAGAATAAGTTGATTACTTTCTCTTTTTTAAACACAATCTTTCCTTCTTCTGCAATTAACAAAACATTAGCAATGCACTCAATCAAAAATCACCTTTCCAGTTTCCTTTGCCACTTGGTTTGGCCATGAGGCTAAGTTCTAGGATGACAGCGTGTAAGTGGATGTGATTTGAAGACCCTTAGAGAGGCTACTAGAAACAAGGGAGCATCTAACTTACTCTTTCTCATTTCTTGGGTATCCACACTGGAATATGGATGAAATGAATGGAGGTTCAGCAACTACTTTGGAGGATGAGGAGGTCTCAAAGAAAGGCATATTGAGGATAATGAAGCAGAAAGAAGAAATTCAGGTACTTTAGTGATATACTAGGAGTATTTCCTTGCCTAGACTTTTCAACAAGAGAGAAATAAGCATTTTTTTAAATTATTGTAATTCAGGTGGTTTTTAGGAATGTAAAGGAACTTCAGTCTCAATTCTATAGGATATTATTTTTAAGTCAAGGATGTTATATCATTAGGAGCGATCTTCATCTTCACAGGTCTATGAAAGGATGAGAAATTGACATTGGGGAAAACAGCTACCATAAAAATCCTATTTTCTCTTCATGAATGAGAGAATAGAGAAAGGTATGAGGGAGAGTAGGGGCTGCTTTGAGAAGAGCTATCTGCTCAGAGAGGTGAAATGGAAGGAACCTTCTTCCTTTTGATGAGGAGGAATTTATAGAGATGAGAGAGAAAAGGCAGCTAGTTCTAGAGAGAAGCCTGGTTGGAAGAAGTGGCTTGTGTCAGGACCTTCTAAGAAGTTCCTTGGTGTGAACCTGAAATGCTTTCCCTACTTTCACTATCGTCAATAAATTATCAATGTGCAATGGGATCTGTTTTGTGTGTGTGTTTGTGTGTGTGTGTGAACATGCGTGTGCTTGCGCAGTAAGGTGTTGAGTTCTAGGGTACAAAGCAATAAAAAGAGCTCTTCCTAGGCTTATAGGATTCTCATTAATGAAAGTCTAGTTAGCAAAACTGGGAGAGAGGAAAGGAAGAGTGACATTGTACTCTTTTTATGATGTCTATAACCATGACCTCTCTGTACATCACCTTTACAATAACAATAAGTAAAAATTTAAAAAGTTTCCTATAGAAGTAGAGGGTCCTTGGGCTGGGAAGGTGGCTCAGTGGTAGAGCGCTTGCCTTGCATGCATGAGGCCCTGGGTTTGATTCCTCAGCACCACATAAGCAAAAAAA